CTTACTGACCTGTCAGTGTTCTAGTTACAGAGTTACCAATGCTAAATCGTTAGTTACTTCAGCAATAAACTATGCAAGCCGTAAACTTGAGTTTGCATATGAAACTTATACAAATAGGTTCGATTTAATTATGAAACTTTGAACACATTCAAATATATTTTTATTTTGTTCAAAAGATAAATTGTTGTCACTGAACAGTAGAACTTCAGCGGAAAGCTGATATTTGAAAGATACAAAAGTTACTTGTCTAGTGTGTTCATAAATCGACAAAGTAGTAGATAGTGTTCACTTGTTTCGTTTCCCTCACGACAAGAACAGAGTTTTTGTGAACAAGGTGGTTATTTAGTGAACTCCATTTCACGTAGCTTGGCTTGGTGATCGAATTACCACAATAACAGATATGATTGTAATTGAGATGTATTTCAAGTATGATGTTCCGTTTGAGTTGTGAGATTGACTCGTCTTCTCTTATATCTTCAGGGAGGGTTTTCCACAGATTGAGAGTAGCAGACAAGAACGAATTGCTAAACATGTTTGTTCTACAACGTTGAGGTCGGCATTTATATGCGTCTGTAGTGGGGTGGTTTTGTATTTTTGAATGTCGAGCTGGCAGAATGTGATTTAACCGCTGTCTTTTTTTAGCCCACCATCATCAGATGGTGGGCTATTCAAATCACCCTGCGTCCGTGGTCCGTGGTCCGTCCGTTATTCCGCCCGTCCTTAAACAATGCTTGTTTGCGCTATTTCTCAGAAAGTACTTGAGGGATATTTCTTAAATTCCACATAAAGGTTTCCCAATGATCCTAAGATATGCATATCGTATTTTGGGACTGATCGCAAAACCAAGATGGCCAACAGACAGTCATCTTGAATTTGAAATGAAAGTTTGTTAGCGCTATTTCTCATAAAGTTTTGGAGATTTTTTTCTGAAATTTCACATAAAGGTTCCCCTCGTTCCATCTTATGCATATCTTTTTTTGAGACTGATTACAAAACTAAGATGGCCGATAGGCAGCCATCTTGAATTTGAGATTGTTAGCGCTTTTCCTCAGAAAGTACTGGAGGGATCGTTCTCAAATTTCTCATGAAGGTTCGCCTTGATCTTTAGTTATCCATATCGATTTATGGGACTGATCACAACACCAAGAAGGCCGATAGGCAGCCAGAGTTAAATTTGAGAGTTGAAGATTGTTAGTGCTATTTTCCAGACCTTATTGAAGGGATCTTTCTCAAATTTTACATGAATGATTCCCATGATCTCTAGTTATATATATCAATTTTTAAAATAAATTAAAAAAGGATAGTACATGTTTGTCTATTTTTAAAACAAATTAAAAAAAGGAAATACCGCAAACAAGAACTGTTTAAGGACGGACTGACGACGGACCACGGACCACGGACGTAGGGGGCTATTCAAATCACCCTACGTCCGTGGTCCGTCGACAGTCCGTCCTTAAACAGTTCTTGTTTGCGGTATTTCTCAGAAAGCACTAGAGGGATATTTCTTAAATTTCACTTGAAGGTTTCCCATGATCCCTAGTTATGCATATCTTTTTGGTACTGTTCGCAAAACCAAAATGACCGACAGACAGCCCTCTTTAATTTGAATGTTAAAGTTTGTTAGCGCAATTTCTCAGAATATGCTGGAGAAGTCTTTCTCAAATCTCACATGAAGATTCCAAATGATCCTTAGTTATGCATATGGTATTTTGTGACTGATCGCAAAACCAAGATGGCCAACAGACAGCCATCTTGAATTTGAGAATGAAAGTTTGTTAGCGCTATTTCTCACAAAGTATACGAGAAATATTTCTCCAATTCACATAATTGTCCCTCGTGCCTTGTTATGCATATCCTTTTCTGGGACTGATCACAAAACCAAGATGGCCGACAGGCAGACATCTTGAATTTTAGTTTGTTAGTGCTATATCCCAGAACTTATTGGAGGGATCCCTCTCAAATTTCACACGAAGCTTTTCCATGATGTTTAGTTATGTATATTATTTTTTGGGACTGATCGTAAAACCAAGATGGCCAACAGACAGCCATCTTGAATTTGAGAATGAAAGTTTGTTAGCGCTATTTCTAATAAAGTATTGGAGAGATATTTCTCAAATTTCATTGCCCAAACACAACGTTTGACCCTGAACATATCCAAATAAGATTTTTGTGAGTTTGATGAAATCCATCCTGCAACGTATTTCCTTGATTTCAAATAGCATTCACGCTGATATTGACCAGCGTTTTCATAAGGAATGTGTGTGATTAGATAATATACTGTTCCTGATTTCCGTTGAAAAAAATATGGAAAGCAGAAAATGCTATAGAAACTTGTTCTTAATGTTGTTAAAAGTCCAAAAACCTAATTATCATTGCTGAGGATACAGTATGTTCTTACAGAGCAACACATGTGAATCAACACCATTACTCGGGGATCGCAAAACTAGATGTGTTCCTTTAAAAAAAAACGTCTGTAATGGTGTCACACTCAGAAGGCCTGTAGCACTCACTTGTTTATGTAAGAAATCTTAGCAAAATATTCTCCTTATATATACTCCTGCAAATATTTCCAATTTTTGACTCTGTCTCAGCACCAAGGGGGCAATACAAAATATGCATGATATGTCTTATTCATATTTGTTGCCAAAGCCTAAGGGTAAATGTATTACAAACAATGGAAACCTAGTTCAAAGGACCCACTGGTGTTTAATGGGAAGTACAGTTTAGATCTGTACATCAGTGATAAATTTAGCTGTGGGTAGATAAGGTTGGTTATAACTTGTATAGAAAACCCTTCATCGGTATTCAAATGATCTGCGGTAGGTTGTGTTGGTTATAACTTACATATACAACACTTTATCGGAATTCTAATGATCTGCGGTAGGTTGTGTTGGTTATAACTTACATATACAACACTTTATCGGAATTCTAATGATCTGCTGTAGGTTATGTGGTTATAACTTGTAGACAACCTTTCATTGGTATTAAATTGATTATTGGGAGGTCGTTTGGTTATAACTTGTCTAGACAATCTTCATTGGTATTACAATGATGACAGATAGGTTGTGTGGTTATGGAATGTAAGATATTTTAAAGCTTGAGATTATCGTTTTGTCGAAGATTATTGATAAATGACAAAATATTAATGGTGTAGTCAGTGTTTATACATTCTCCTAAATTGTGAGATCTGCTTAAGTATTACTACCAAATATCACTTCCTTTTCAGGCAGGTGAGCTTATGCTGAGGGGCGGTTTCCGTCGTCCGTCCCTACGTTTGATGTCATTTCTTTTTCTTTTAAAAACTTCTTGTAAATAATCAACTGCCCAAGGATGATGATATTTGGCCATAAGCATACTGTGATGAAGGGGTACCACGTTTGTTCAAATAAATGACTTTCACCCACATTCCGTGTCACAGGGGTAAAATATGTCATAAACATCAAACGTTTTTTCCTGAATAACAAAAATGTCTAGGGTAATGCTATTTGGACAGAAGCCTACTAGAATGAATTCCTACAAAGTTTGTTCAAATGGATGAAATTCACCGATAGTTAAGGTCATAGGGGTCAATAGTCTTTAAATCGTTAAACGACTTCTACTTTTAAATAACCAAAAGGATCAGGGTGATTTTATTTGGCCAGTAGTATGCTTTGATGAAGGGCTTCGAAGTTTGTTCAAATGAACAACCTTCGCCCATATTCAAGGCCATATTCAAGGTAACATGGGTTGAATATGTCATTAACCTAAATGATTTCTTCTCGTGAATAACAAAAATGCCTAGGGTGATGTTATTTTGCCAGTAGCATGCCGGGATGAAGTCCTATCAAATTTGTTCAAATGAATGACCTTCATCTATAGTTAAGGTCACATGGATCAATTGTCTTTAAAAACTTTTAAACGACTTCAAATGAATAACATAACCAAAAGGTACAGGGTGATGCTATTTGGACATAGGCATGCTAGGATGAAGTGCTTCCAAATTGTGCAAATGAATGACATTAGCCCTTTTGCGATGTCACGGGTAAAATACTTTGAGATGTTTCAACTAATTCAAATGAATAATCAGAAGGTCCGGGGTGATGTTATGTGACAAGAAGCATGCTAGGATGAAGTGCTACAAAGTTTGTTCAAATGAATGACATTAGCCCATATTCTACGTCACAGGAGTCAAATATATTCAAAGCTTTAAAAGACTTCTTTTGAATATCATAAATGCAAAGAGTGGTGATGTGACCAATATCATGCTCAGATGAAGAGCAATTAAGTTTGTTCAGGTGAATGACTTAGACACACTTTCAATTTCACATCTAGTCAATCATGTATAAACCTTTGAAAATCTTCTTAATAAACAAAAGACATAGCTTTCTCATTTTGACCAAATTTACCAATCTCCCTCGAAACTCCCTCATTTTCAAGTCCAAATTCACACAAACTAAAACTTTACATCCTGTTGTCAAATGATATCCTTGTTACTACAAGGTCGGTATAATGATCATAACAAATGCGTCTGAATCAAATGAATGATTTTGATGCATCAAAAGGGAAAGATAATTTGAGCAAAGCAGTTCCAGTCGTGTTTCCCACTCTTTCTTCCTCATTTGAAATGTGGAGTATGGGAGATCTCCCTCATTGGAGGTTTTAAAGTTTGGCACCTATGCAAAAGGTCTAGGGCGGTGATATTTGGCAGGTTGCATTCTGCGATAAAGAGATCTAAATTAAAAGTTTGTTCAACTTGATGTCTTTCTTTGACTTTCAAGGTTACATGGGTCAAATGTGTTTAAATATTTATATAGTCAAGACACTGATATTTTGTCTGTAGCGTTATTTAATCAACTTTTAAGGTAACAAGTGTGAGATTTTTACCAGATGAGCGATGCAGGCCCATTTTGCCTCTTGTTTGTTTAAAATATGGGGAAACACATGTAATTCTTGTTTTTGTAATATAATGCCTGGAATGTTCCAAGGTATTGTCATCAGCTTTTATACACTTTATGTTTCAGGTTTGTACAGAAACATCGGAAATGGCTTCTGATAGTCCATTAAAGGCTATAGAAATCCACAACAAATTGGTGCATTATCTTGGTGAACGGATTGTGGAGACAAAATTTCTTAAACTTAAGAATCTATTCAAAGATATTCCATTCACCCCAGTCGCAATTGATTCGATTAAAAACATGTTTGACCTTTTCGAATGTCTTAAGACACACACTATAATAGCTGTGGGAGACTACTCAAAATTTTTAGATCAACTTAGAATTACAAATCCAGACCTGGTGAAATATGTGATAACCCAAGAAAATGAAATAAAAGGTGAGTCAAACTTACTTATTTCTTCATGTCTATGGATATCATTTGGATTTATTGACGTGTAACTGGTTAATTTTGAAATTAATTACGGTACACCTCCGGTCGGATCCAACAAATTTAAATAGATATTGTCAAACTTGTTCGAATAACACAAAATTATAGCTGCTAAAAATAAAGAGTAATTAGAACTATCCTAGTCGACATCAGCAAAAATCACGGTCAAGTCAAGTCGTTGATACGAAACAGCGACGGTCTATAACGGTATATTTGCAAATCTGAAGATGAATAATGGTACATATATCTTTCTTATCTTTATTTACATATTAATAATCTATTGTCAAGCTCAATCACAAAGCAGAGACAAGTATATAAGAATTTTAATTTCAATCATGATAATAGTATATATTGTTCCATATCCTTTGAAAATGAGGAAACTTGCAGATCTAGAGCGACCACTAACTACATACATGTTTGTGTTATATTTCATGACATGAAATCAAGTTTTATAAACAAAGACTTTGACAAGTGTCTTATAACTTGATAAGTGGCGGGTAGACATATGAAGGGACATATGAAGTGAAATGTGTTCATCAAACGAAGCAAAGAGTTGAAAATGCCAATTCTACTAGTCGGCATTCTAATCGATTGGTGAGCTGGTTAACATTGGTTGACCATGTCCAGTAGGATTGTATTCATTTTCTTCGACATTAGAAAGTTAAATTTTCAATCGCCTTTCGTTCGTGGTCCGTGGTCCGACCTTACCCAATTCTTGTTATGATGATCGATATTTCTCAGAAAAGACTAAATAGATCTTTTTTCAAATTTGGTATGTGGGTTTCCTTTGGTCCTTATAGTTATGCACTACTTTTGAGACTGATCGAAAAAAACAAAATCTTTTATCTTTATTTTCTCATGAAGCACTGTGAGGATCTTTCTCAAGGTGATATAAGTCAGCCATCTTCGATTTTGACAATAAAGGTTTGTTATCGTTATTTTTCAGAAAATTGTCGAGGGATCTTTCTCAAATTTAACAATTCGTTGTGCATGGTAACTTTTGAGACTGATCGGATAAAAAAAATGGCGTAAAGGTGGCGATTTTGAATTTTGACAGTGAAGGTTTGTTATCGCTATTTCTCAGTAAGAAATGGAAGGATCGTCCCTAGTTGTGCATGTTTACTTTTGAGACTGATTGGATAAACAAAATGGCCGAAAGGTGGCCATCTTGGATTTTGACGGTGAACATTTGTTATCTCTATTTCTCAAGAGGGAATGAAAGGATTTATCTCAATTTTAATATGTATGTTCCCTTTGATCTTTAGTTGTGCATGTTTAATTTTAAGACTGATCTGATAAACAAAAGGGCCGAAAGGCAGCCCTCTTGGATTTTGAAAAGTTTGTTATCGCTATTTCTAAAAAAGCACATGTAAGATAGTTATAAAATTTTATATGAATAGTCCTTTTGGTCTATAATTGTGCATGTATTATTTTGAAACTTATTGAAAAAAAATGGATTTGACATTTTACTTTTTACAGGAAGTACTTTACAGATCCTTTTGTTGTATCAATAATCGGTTCTGTTTCTTTCATATCAAGTACTGTACCAGTAAATATGTGAAACAACAACTCGCTTTTAAGGTTGTCTTTTATACACAGCAGCATGAAGCTTAGATCGAAAGCTACCTCAATGGGCATTTACTATGTTCATGACTCGAAGATGGTAGAATGGTGGGCGTCAATATTTCTCTGGGATCTCTTGGTCACTGGTAAACAGATTTTCGGTTTTTAGTTGATTATTTACAAACAATTTCCTAGAGCAATAACAAAAATTGTGCATTAACAATAACACATAATGAGGTATCGTTCGCAAACAACATTTATTTCGATAACAATATCGAATGTGTACACTAAATAAACTAATGGCCCTTGTATAGAACCTTGTAGGCAGCCGGGTTTAATATTTTCTCAAGATGAGTATTCACTATTAGTTACAACTCGTTGTTTGCGATTAGTTTGTAGTCCACGAAAATTGGTAAGTGTGTAAGGGTGGGAAAGACTTTTGGCAAAAATTGACAAATAAAAAGATTGAAGAAACAGAACTACCACAGTTCCAGACTCGGCCAAAGACTTTGCTTTCGTCGCAAACGACTAATCTCATTTCTTTACCATCATCGATCTAATGCATCAATTTTGGTTCCCACCTCTATGCTCCCAGCATCACCGATACGCCCTGTAACGGGGACAAAACAGCTGTGTAGTGAAGCATAACTCAGTTTGTGGATTACTGTATCTATAAACACATTTTATATGTGCAATCCCATTTGTCAACAATGTTTACAGCTGTATCATCACTGCTATAATTCAACCAATTACTGGTAAACTGTCTCCAATATTAAAAGCTATATCATCACTGCAATAATTTAACCAGTTCCTGGTAATCTGTCTCTTTCCAATGTTTACACATGTTTCATCGTTGCTATACATCAACCAATTACTGGTAAACTGTCTCCAATGTTTATACAAAATGTACCTATATCATTAATACTATATATAAGCCAAATGCTGGTAAAGGGTCTCTTCACAATGTAAACAACTATATCATCAATGCTATATATAAACCATTTACTGGTAAGTTGTCTATTCCCAATGTTTAAAGCTATATCATCACTGTTATAATTCAACCAATTACTGGTTAACTGTCTCCAATGTTTACAGCTATATCATCACTGCTATAAATCAACCAATTACTGGTAAACTGTCGCCAATGTTCATACCTATATCATTAATACTCTATATAAACCAAATACTGGTAAACTGTCTTTTCCCAATGCAAACACCTACACATCAATGCTATATGTAAACCATTTACTGGTAAGTTGTCTATTCCCAATGTTTACACCTATATCATCACTGATATAAATCAACCTATCACTCGTAAACTGTCTCAAAAGGTGTACACCTATATAATCACTGCTATATATCAATCAATAACTGGTGAACTGTTTCCGATGTTTACAGCTATATCATCACTGATATAAAACTAACAAAATACTGGTAAACTGTCTCCAATGTTTACACCTAAATCATCACTGCTAAAATTCAACCAATTACTGATAAACTGTCTCTATCAAATGCTAAGACCTATATCATCAATGCTATATATAAACTAACAACAGGTAAACTCTCTCTATCCAATGTAAACATCAATATCATCATTGCTATATATAAACTAATTACTGGTAAACTCTGTCTATCCAATGTTTACACCTATATCATCACTGCTATAAATCAACCAATTACTGGTAAACTTTCTTTACTAAATGTTAACACCGATATCATCAATGCTATATAAACTAATAAATGGTAAACTCTCTCTATCCAATGAAAACATCAATATCATCATTGCTATATATAAACTAATAGCTGGTAAACTCTCTCTATCCAATGTTAACACCTATATCATCGTTGCTATATATAAACTAATTACTGGTAAACTCTCTCTATCCAATGTAAACATAAATATCATCATTGCTATACATCAACCAATTACTGGTAAACTGTCTCCAATGTTTACAGCTATATCATCACTACTATAATTCAACTAATTACTGGTAAACTGTCTCTAATGTTTACAGCTATATTATCACTGCTATAAATAAATCAATTACTGATAAACTGTCTCCAATGTTTACAGCTATATCATCACTGCTATAATTCAACCAATTACTGGTAAACTGTCTCCAATGTTAATACCTATATCATTAATACTATATATAAACCAATTACTGGTAAATTGTCTATTCCCAGTGTTTACAGCTATATCATCACTGCTATAATTCAACCAATTACTGGTAAACTGTCTCCAATGATTATACCTATATCCTTAATACTATATATAAACCAAATACTGGTAAACTGTCTCTTCCCAATGCAAACACCTATATCATCAATGCTACAGTTGTGGGACCGCACAACGCACCAAAAATAGCGTGCGCACACCGTGCATACATCGTTCACACACCGTCCGCACATCGTCCACACATGGTGCGCACAACTGTGCGATTTAGCAATCGTTCGCCCCGTTGTGCGCTTCTCTCCGCACAACTGTGCGATTTGGTATCATTTGTAGATCAAAATTACGGAATGACAAAAATACGGAAGGCTTGTATGCGATAATGTACACTGTGTATATATCTGTAATTTCTCATCACAATAATCAAGATTATACAATTTCACAATGCGTGTTACACAGTATTACAGCGACCGTTAGGCTGTCAAGAATGGGTTTGGCTCCAAGGTAACAGAACAGGTAAATAACAATTTTATGAGTGTCCGGAGTTTTACCTGACCAGTGCCTGACACACAGAGCTGATATGCGATACCGTTTGACCGTAATAAAAAGGATTTGTTATTTGCATTCGTTTACCTATATATAGCTCCCCTTCACCTGGATTTTCACACCCCCGGCCTTACCCGACGAGTTACGTAAATGCCCCAGGCGGGGAGAAAACTACGGTCCAGGTACATGTACAAAGTGGTTATGTTTACCTGTATACGGGATTGTGTTGTAATTTTACATGTGTCGATTAAGTTTGTTTAAAAACACAGAAAACACAATTCCTAAATATAAGAATATATAGACAGAAAGATAAGTTTATAGATGTTGCTAGAATATAGAAACATACGTAAACATCAAGTTTATATGTTTAAACACGAAACCGTATAAATTGTTAAGGCATTCCTCAATTTACACCAACCACGATTGTTATCGCACAACGTCCGTCCATCGTGCGCACATATGTGCGCAAGCAATGATCGTTCAGCTTTTTATCGTTCGCCCATCGTGCACACACCGTTCACACACCGTGCACACATCGTGCGCACACCGCACATCGTGTAACGTTGTGCGATCCCACAACTGTATATATACACCATTTACTGGTAAGTTGTCTATTCCCAATGTGTACACCTATATCATCACTGCTATAAATCAACCTATTACTGGTTAACTTTCTTTAGCCGATGATAACATCAATATTATCATTGCTTTAAATCAACCAATTACTGGTAAAATATCTCCAATGTTTACAGCTATATCATCACTTATATAAATCAACCAATTACTGGTAAACTGTCTCAAAAAGTTTACACCTATATAATCACTGCTATATATAAACCAATTACTGATAAAGAGTCTCCAATGTTTACACCTATATCATCACTGCTATATATCAACTAATTACAGGTAATCTGTCTCCAATGTTTACAACTATATCATCACTGCTATAAATCAACCAATTACTGGTAAACTGTCTCCAATGTTTATACAAAATGTACCTATATCATTAATACTATATATAAGCCAAATACTGGTAAAGTGTCTCTTCCCAATGTAAACACCTATATCATCAATGCTATATATAAACCATTTACTGGTAAGTTGTCTATTCCTAATGTGTACACCATTATCATCACTGCTATAAATCAACCAATTACTGGTAAACTGTCTTTTCCAAATGCTAGCACCTATATCATCAATGGTATATATAAACTAATTACTGGTAAACTCTCTCTATCCAATGTTAACTCCTATATCATCATTGCTATATATAAATTGGTACCCTCTCTCTATCCAATGTTAACACCAATATCATCATCGCTATATTAAAACTAATAACTGGTAAACTCTCTCTATCCAATGTTAACACCTATATCAACGTTGCTATATATAAACTAATAACTGGTAAACTCTCTCAATCCAATGTAAACACCAATATCATCATTGCTATATATAAACTAATAACTGGTAAACTCTCTCTACCCAATGTAAACACCTATATCATCAATGGTATATATAAACTAATTACTGGTAAACTCTCTCTATCCAATGTTAACACCTATATCATCATTGCTATATATAAATTGGTAACCTCTCTCTATCCAATGTTAACACCAATATCATCATTGCTATATTAAAACTAATAACTGGTAAACTCTCTCTATCCAATGTTAACACCTATATCATCATTGCTATATATAAACTAATAACTGGTAAACTCTCTCAATCCAATGTAAACACCAATATCATCATTGCTATATATAAACTTATAACTGGTAAACTCTCCCTATCCAATGTTAACACCTATATCATCGTTGCTATATATAAACTAATCACTGGTAAACTCTCTCTATCCAATGTTAACACCAATATCATCATTGCTATATATAAACTAATAATTGGTAAACTCTCTCTATCCAATGTTAACATCGATATCATCATTGCTATATATAACTAATAACTGGTAAACTCTATCTATCCAATGTTAACACCTATATCATCGTTGCTATATATAAACTAATCACTGGTAAACTCTCTCTATCCAATGTTAACATCGATATCATCATTGGTATATTAAAACTAATAACTGGTAAACTCTCTCTATCCAATGTAAACACCAATATCATCATTGCTATATATAAACTAATAACTGGTAAACTCTCTCTACCCAATGTTAACATTAATATCATCACTGCTATAATTCAACCAATTACTGGTGAACTGTCTCCAATGTTTACTTCGTGGTCATCACTACTATAAATCAACCAATTACTGATAAACTGTCTCCAATGTTTACAGCTATATCATCACTGCTATAATTCAACCAATTACTGGTGAACTGTCTACAGTTATTACCTATATCATTAATACTATATATAAGCCAAATACTGGTAAACTGTCTCTTCCCAATGTTTAAAGCTATACCATCACTGTTATAACTCAACCAATTATTGATAAGCTGTCTCCAATGTTTACACCTTTATCATCACTCTTATATATCAACCAATTACTGGTAAACTGTCTCCAATGTTTACAGCTATATCATCACTGCTATAATTAAACCAATTACTGGTGAACTGTCTCCAATGTTTACTCCGTTATCATCACTACTATAAATCAACCAATTACTGATAAACTGTCTCCAATGTGTACAGCTATATCATCACTGCTATAATTCAACCAATTACTGGTGAACTGTCTACAGTTATTACCTATATCATTAATACTATATATAAGCCAAATACTGGTAAACTGTCTCTTCCGAATGTTTACACGTATATCATCAATGCTATAAATCAACCAATTATTAGTAATCTGTCTCTTCCCAATGTTTACACATATATCATCACTGCTATGAACCAACAAATTACTGGTAAACTGTCTCCAATGTTAAAAACCTATATCATTACTGCTTTATATAAACAAATTACTGGTAAAATGTCTCTACCCAATGTTAACACATATATCATCACTGCTATGAACCAACCAATTTCTGTTAAACTGTCTCTACCCAATGTAAACACCTATATCATCAATGCTATATATAAACCAATTACTGGTAAGTTGTCTATTCCCAATTTTACATCTATATCATCACTGCTCTATATCAACCAATTGCTGGTCTCTTCCCAATGAAAACACCTATATCATCACCGCTATGAATCAATCAAATACTGGTAAACTGTCTCCAATGATTACACCTTTATCGTTAATGCTATATATAAACCAATTTCTGGTAAACTGTCTCTACCCAATGTAAACACCTATATCATCAATGCTATTTATAAACGAATTACTGGGAAACTGTCTCTACCCAATGTTTACACCTATATCATCACTGCTATAAATCAACCAATTACTGGTAGCATATCTGATCTACATCTGCAGAAATACAAGGATCCAGTGGTGACAGGGATCCAGGAGTTGACGCAGAGCTTAGAAATGAGAAAAAGAGAAACGGTTAGTATGGCTTTTCGTTGATTTTACAAAAGACAAAATGTATGTGTGAATACAGAACGCCACAGTTGTTATCAAATGGAGTATGATTCAAATAATGTGCGTACTTTTATATTCCTAAAGAAGTTTCCTTTTCAGGAGGCACATAATGGCCCTAACTATAACTGTTTCATGAAGATTAAGGTTTATTTCACTGTAGTGGTATATTTCGCGTTATATATAATCACATGAGGTTTCATTATCAATGGCATATCAAATTAATGAACGAGTTTAATAAATTCAAAACGAATGGAAACGAATGTATGATTATATTTATCACATAACGTTTTTAGTTTGAATACAAAATTCTTACATAACTATGTTTATTATAGTATTGTTGGTCCGCGCAGTGAAATGAAGATCGATATTATTTTGAATCTTGAAGTTTTAAATGCAATGAAAATGATAATGAAAAAACAACATTTCACATTCATTAAAATAAAAGTTAATGAATCATGTGGTATTGTAAATAAAAGTAGTAGCTGTAGCAGGAATATGTTTCCACGGTTTTTACCAATCACAGCACCTTTAGATTTTATTATACGTGTGTATTACCATATGTATGACATTGTAAATTGCGTCAGTTATGTGATGACATTGTATAAAAATTGCAAATGGTATTCCATGTAATATTAAAGTAGAAATAAAAATAATAAGTTCTTTTGATCTTTTTACATTTAATGTCTCCTTTAACCTGATAACCTTTTATAGCAGGATCACTATATTCCATTTTAACGAAAATTTGACCTTACCAGATCATTACAATTACCAAACAATGAGCGGACTTAATTAAAGCATTTTCTTCGTTCTTTCACATAAATACAAATATTCAATTGATTAAAATCGATATATTGCTAACAGTATAGAACCAACGGTATTATTTGATTTTCATTTTTACAAAGTATTTGAAAGAAACATGTAATCAATCCAGTTATTAAACTGTTATGAATAATGCTATAGTATTAGAGCGGAGCAGCACTATGCACACTAGCTGTGACCAGAGCATCAACACATGTTAACATTAGTCTTATTCATGTATCATAATGTATATCTTAATATATTATGTGGCTATGAACGCAATTCGACCTGCGTCATTTTGCGATTTCTCCTCCCGCCTCTTGAAAAGTGAAACAACCGTTAGAAGTTAACATCTTGGTGACGTTAGGCTGTTCCAGGAGTCTCTCCTTTGACGACAGACGCGCTTCAATATCAAAAATATAAGAAAATATCTACATAAACATCAATCATAACAATAAATGTATAATGCAAAGAAATGTATTGAAGTATACTTTACAATTTTCAAGACGGTATGAACACTGAAAATGACCTGTTCAGTACTTATTTATAAACTAAATACCAACACCTACAGAATGATCAGCAGTAACTTCTGACATATTCTCTCTATAGGTGGAGAAGACCGTACTTATCAGTTTAGAAAACAGATAGACAATACCCACGACGCAAGAATAATTGACGTGTGGACGCGTGCAAGAAACGCTGTTGGACGCATCAAAGGGCCACTTTACACCGGGACAGGGATAAGAGTTGGTTCCAAGTACATTCTCACCGCCTATCATGTCGCCAAAGACATAACAAGTAAGTTTATATGAAAGCTGATTCTACTTCGAGATTTCCAGACTTGGAATAAGTTATTGCCCATATATTGGCCACGTATTTTGAGGAATTGCGTTTATAGTTCCTAAATGGCAACATTTGTAAAGTGAAGGATTTGCAATGTAAATTTCCTGCAGTTTTCTTTTTATTTCTGTTATCAATTTATCAAACTTCGAACTACCATAGTTCTGTACAAATGCATTGCAACGTGTGAATATCGTGGAATTCTTCTTAAGCGTAATCAAATGCGTTACAAAAATGATAATAGTAATACGACAGTTTAACTTATTGGTATCCTTTACCGTGCCATACGTTTCAGTAATATTGGACTTCTATACCTATCAGTTATTAAATCGGAACAAGATATTAAAACATTTTAGAAGGTTTAAAGTGTGCCTTTCAAATCAATGACATTTTCTAACTCCCACTGACAAATTTTGTTTTGTTCATTACTACGCTCTTAAATATGATAAGTTATACTAAATTTTTGCATCTGAACATTTTTGTACGTCTTCTTGTAAAACGTATTATGAATGCAAAGTATAAAATTTACATTAATGTTCATGTTTAAATAAATTAATATACCCAAGCACTATCTGTTATGGAATGCTATCTGGAACAAATCTTAAAAGTAAGTGTTAAGACATAAAGTGTTCATGTACGTTTAAATTATTTAATTTTTCTTAAATAAATTAGAGACAGAAACAGGTGTTGATACACATATATACATATGTTACCTTTCGTCGTAACCAACATTTACAGCTATGACTTAGGGATAGTGACGTGATAGGGATACATTACAGGGGAAATTAGAAGAGAGTTTGGGGAAATGCAGTGTAAAATTTGGTGCATGTACAAAATATGTTATATTCAGGAATTCAGTACATAATTTTCCTGTTAGATATACGTCAATGGATTTATATTTCTTTCCAGAAGAAAACACAAGTGACACTGAAGACTGGTCTAAGCTAGGCTCCGAACATGTCTGGATAGAGTTCCATTTTCCAAAAAAAATTGCCGAAAAATTTCGCTTTATACCTGAGCGGCCAGTATATGACGAAAAACTTGATTTTGCGATTTTAGAATTGCAACCTGGACAATCTGCAATCCCTCAACCAATAAGAAAGTTTGGTAAACCAGACTACAGTCAATCATTTGCATTGCTTGGCCACCCTGGAAAACCGAAAAGTGAAATAATGCAATTTGATTCTGATATTGAACTTTTTGATCTGAATGCTGATAAGAATAGCAGTCGACGTGGATATATGATCGCAAATGACCAAGTAAAAACTGGGTATGAGGAAATCCGGGATCAAGGGAAAGTTTTGTTCGATTGTTGGGTCCAGCATGGAGCTTCTGGGTCACCCGGAATCGTTATGGGAAACGCTGACGAAGAACCGATCTGCACCTTGATGTTGGTGAGAGGATTCCCGAGTCAGGCATTCTCAGAAAATGTCGATGTCCCACACGAACAAATGATTGAGCAGGGTGTAACAATGGAGGCAATTGCTAACAAAACCAACAGTCTGGGAGAGAGCGCCAAACGTCTGAAAATAGACATATTTGGTAAAAATTTTCCGTAACACTGAATAAAGAATGTTGAATTTCTAGTGCCTTTTTCATTGTGTGCCACGTAACCACAATTTTGTGACACCCAAATCAGGACAAAGGTGCACTACGCCAGTGATCAGGAGGAGTAAGTTTTCGATAACTATGATTTTTATATTTTTCTTTGAATTAATAAACCTTCGTAATTTCACTAACAATTGAAACAGCAAAAGTTACATAGGACACATCATCTTTTAGAAATCGTATCATATATTTTTGATGAATTCCTTTTACATTGAAAAAGATGTTGAAATGTTCTTTTTATGGGTCCATATTTACATTTGTAAATTTCTAGGGCTTGGTATCACAATGCTTTGAAATGTATTGTTTATATTATGCACAATTTTAATATTTAAAAACCTACCGCGTATTGGGGCTCTCACTCCTGTGTAATACTCGTATAACACATTCATTCAATTGTGGCTTTAAATTCTAGGGGAATTCACCCCCATCTCAACATAGTTTTAATTTAGTGTGGAGATGCGGCTTCTCTTGTATCACTGGAGTCTAGCTGATCCCACCATGGCTTCTCTAGGGGTGTTCACAACCAGCGTCTAGTCGCTTCTCTGGAGACATGTTCAGAGTCTATCTGCTCACTTCTCTTGGCTGTGTAGGTGCTTCTCCTAATACCCCGGGAGTCTAGCTTATTAAAAAATAGTAGCATAAATATATGGTAGTAAAATTGTTGGAGTGAGTAGCCCCTGAAGCGCCAAATGTATTACTGTATGTAAATATGTTGCTAACAAAAGTAATAAACAGGTTAACTGTTTCTTGTGTGTTAGTTGTATATACAATGATAATTTGATATTTAATATATTAAATTATAGTTTATATACAACGATGTAGCCAGCTACTCTTTTGTTTTAGTCGTTATAATAATATAAGTTGTTTTGTATAGTTTATATCCAACTCATGACGTTTCCCTATTCAGTCATGATCATGGCATGGGTTGTTTTGTTTTATATGTTAATGAAGGTATGGTAATAAGTAGATGAGAAATTGACCAATCGCAGAGCAGTATATGGTCCCCTATAGGGGTCTCTTAAATTGGTAGCAGCACCCTTCATCCAGGGAGGCTGCAGTGAACCACGGTTGTTTATGTGTACCCACACACCATCCCCAGCTGCATGCCAAGTTTCATATATGCATATAAGTTCTGCCAATTGTAATGTAGTACTTATCTTTTGCTGTTTCCCGGTATTTAGCAGCTGTTCCTTTTCTCATGATTGAATCTTTGCGCAATGTATTTTTTACATGTACCATTTATACTTGCCTTTGGCAGGCATTATTGCTCTATTTTAGGTTGTTTGGGCTACTCACTTCAGGTAGGTTATTATAGTTCTCGTTTCAGTTCTAATCTAGCTTTAAATTCTAGGGGCTTAAATTCTAGGGGAATTCACCCCCAATCTCAACAACGTTTTATACTAGTGTGGGGATGCGGCTTCTCTTGTATCACTGGAGTCTAGCTGCTATCATCATGGCTTCTCTAGGGGTGTTAACAACCAGAGTCTGGTCGCTTCTCTGGATACATTTTCAGAGTCTAGCTGCTCACTTCTCTGGGCTGTGTAGGTGCTTCTCTCAATACCCCCGGAGTCTAGATTATTAAAAAATAATAGCATAAATATATGGTAGTAAAATTGTTGTAGTGAGTAGCCCCTGATGCGCCAAACGTATTACTGTATGTAAATGTGTTGCTAACAAGAGTAATAAACAGGTTAACTGTTTCTTGTGTGTTAGATGTATATAAATGACTACTTATTTATTAAATGTTTTAATTAACATCTCATTTTGGAAGCCCAGCATACTCAAGTTGTACAAGCATCACTCTGATCTCTTTGATTGTATAACACAAAGCTGGCGTGCCATAGAATACAAAGCATACAGTCAAACCTGTAATGGTATACCAAACAATTGTTTTAATTGTCAACAAATCCTCTAAAAGATGTTACGATCAACCTAAATATCGCCACTTGATAAGTCAAATTTAAAAGAAAACAAGTAAACGTTGCAATTGAGGTATGTAACTTCGATATATTGAAATTTATTTAGAAAAATATCACTTCGCGATGTTAGCCTATTATAAGTCACCATGGCCAATGTCTCAATAACAAGAGGTCCAGAGGGTCTGTATAGCTCATCTGGATATCTAAGCAATCATGGCAAAATATTCTCCAAATAATATCCCAGGGATAGGGCTAGACCCCAAGTCCAATCCTTATAGCATAAATGTATTTGATTTTTCATGCCCTGCCCAGCAATTGTATATATGGCTATGGGGTAGAGATTTCAACTGTTTCCAAGTTGTGATTCAGAAATTAGGTCCCTAGAGTTATGGCCAGACCCCGGGGTCAATTCTAATATCATGACTCCATTTGTCTCTTTATGCCAGGTAATTCTATATATATATAGTTTTAGGGTGGGGATCTCAACTGTAAAAACCAGGGGCTAAGTCTGCAAGGATCGGGCAGACCCTGTGGTCAATTCTATTACCATGACTGTATTTGTCTCTTTATACCTAGCAATTGTATATTTAGTTTTGGGGTTGGGATCTCGACCGTTTCGAAGTTATGACCCAGGGGTTGAGCCTGCAAGGGTGGGACAGACCCCAGGGCAATCCTGGAAGCATATGTGCATTTGTCTCTTTATACTCAGCAATTGTATTAATGGTTATAGGGTGGGAATCTCAACTGTTTCCAAGTTGTGACTAAGAAACTAGGTCCCTAGGGGTGTGGCCAGACCCAAGAGTCAATGATTATATCATGAGTGTGTTCCTCTCTTTATGCGCAGCAATTGTATATTTAGTTTTGCGGTAGGGATCTCAACCGTTTCAAAGTTACGACCCCGGGACTAAGTCTTCAAGGGTCAGCTTGTCCATTTGTACGATTGTTAATTCTCACCACCTAGGGATGCTTCCAACAATATATAGTTGATATCGATCGCTTAGTTCCAAGGAAGAAGTCGCTTAAAGCAATACAGCTAAATAACCCTTTTTGGCCCCGCTCCTCATTCCCCCGGGGTCAGCCCCAATATTTGTACAAGTTTAAACCCCCACCGCCTAGGGATGCTTCCACCAAACTATTGTTGATAGCTGTTGTTATTTCCAGAGGACAAGTTGCGTAAAGCAGTATAAACCCAAATTACACTTTTTGGCCCCATACTCAGCCCCCTGAGTGGTCATCCCCACCATTTGTACTGTTCTGAATCGCCAATACCTAGGGATGCTACCAGTCAAATGTAATTGATATTCTTGATAAGTTCCAGAGAAGAAGTTGCGTAAAGCAATATAAAGCCAAATTACACTTTTTGGCCCCACCCTCAGCTCTCTGGATGGTCAGTCCCACCATTTGTACAATTTCGAATCCCCAATACCTAGGGTTTCTTCTAGCCAAATAAAGTTAAATAGCAATAAGTGGTTAAGAAGATGAAGTCGTTAGAAGAAATTGTTGATGTACGAACGACGAGGTTTCAATTTCGGGCTTGTTGAACCTTAGGCTAAACATTTTTGTCCACCTTCTGTCTGTCCAACAATTGATCCCTCTGTCATTGAAAATCAAATAAGGTCATTACGTGGCCAAATATCACCGCCCTAGACCTTTTCTTTAATGACATTAGTATATTTAAAGGTTATACAGACCCGTACACGTTCGCTGTTCCACCTTGGACGGAAACGGTACGGAAGTGCTACGCAAACGGTACGGAAACGGTACGCCAGTGCTACGGAAACGGTACGGAAGTGCTACGCAAACGGTACGGAAACGGTACGCAAGTGCTGCGCAAACGGTACGGAAGTGTTACGCAAACGGTACGGAAGTGCTACGGATGACACTTACAAACAGTGACAAAAACGGGTTTACATAAAAAAGCGGAAGCATATACAATATCTAAAACGAAACGAATATACTCACAATGCATAGGAAGAATCGCCAGTAAACTGTAGGCTACGAGGAGGCACATAAGAATGTTTTGAATTTTGCCATTTCGTTTGCATAATGGATGAGTGTGAAACAAACCGAAATGTCTCGTGATTTATAAAGATAAAGGTCGATCAAATATTGGTACATGTAATATATCCATCACAAAGACCTGATGTACGCTAACAGATCAACACGACACACAGATAATGATAAGTTATGGTCAGAAGTATTTCCACCTGCTTATCGAATAAAAGACTAAATAATATTGTCAGTAAGTAAACTGGTTACGGTTTTGTAACGAGAAACGTGATAATTAATATGCCTAATAATAAAAAATAATAAAAAAATTCAGACTCCTGTGTAAAGGATCATATACCTCTATTTCTATTTTTTATATCGTCTTTAATACTTCCATACACTTTCAGATTTTTCGTAGGATTTAGAGACCGATAACGTGCTTAATTATAAGTACATGCAAATACATGCATCGGAGATTTGAAATATATACATGTTATACCATGTCTATTCATTAAATTTCATTCACAGATAAAGAGTATTTTTTGTTATACATTTTTTTTTATCTTATTATGAAAATGTAGTTGATTCTTGTTTTAGTCTACATTGCACATGCATATTGTTACGGGAGTTATTATATATGATTGAGTGCGCGATAATGTATATTATTTTTTCAGTTTGAAAGGCAAGCTCGTGCATGTAGGAAACTATTATGAATAAGACAAATAATATGTACGAAATATATGTATGTTTTTCGTTCATGATATCAGAGACGTATATATTATATATACGTCTCTGATGATATAGCTTTTCTTTATCGATCATAAAAATGTAGGTATCTATAATGACTTTTTTACAGGTAAATCTTACCTGTCTGAATCCTGGTACTGGAGAAACTATGACTGTCTGGCACACCCTGAGGGGGTGTACTGTAGAGTGTATAGGGGTCTGATGTCAGATAACTTAGGGTCTGAGACCATAGTCAAACTTCAATATATCTATTTCTTAGTTTGTACCTAAACAGGCGTGGATCAAGGAGGATGGGTGCTTAGGGCATAGCGTCCTGATTAGGGTCCTAGGGCAATTAGTCATGGTAGAGTAGAGCAAAGTAAAAGGATGTGGGTAGGGGACGGGTTTATTTAATAGATATATTTATCTCTCATTTATAAAAAAAAAATACCCTTGGGTGGTTATACATGTATATCTATGTGAGGATGCTCACAATCTCTTGTCTCTAATTCCACAGGAAAAAGTTATTGGCGTTGAGGGAAAATGATGTCATTTTCCTGAAATTTCAAGTTAAGGAGTCTAATTAAGTTTTTTTTCGTGAAACTGGTGATGGACAATGGTACCGCACAAAGAAGTTGGAATAATTATCATGTAATGCGGTTTATAATGATGTTCTTTTTATTAACAATTCGTTTCGACAAATATATATTCCGTAAAATTTTCGACCGAACGTTTCACAAACGCTTTTTAAATGGAAAGATTTAGACGCAAGTGCTACGGAAACGATACGGAAGTGTTACGGAAACGCTACGCAAGTGCTACGGGAATGCTGCGGTAATGGTACGGAAGTACTACGGAAAGCCTACGCAAGTGACACGCAAGTGCTACGCAGACGGTACGGAAATGCTACGCAAACGGTACGCTGAAAGTGGAACAGCGAACGTGTACGGGTCTGTGCATATTTGACAAAATGTGATCTTGAAAGTGGGTCAAGGTCATTCAAATGAATTTATAGAAATTTATCCAAGCATGCAACTGCCAAAATATAAACATTTTTGGCCTTATGGTTATTCATAAGAAGTCGTTTCAAGCTTTTTAACATATTT